ATTTTAATACATTTCAGAAAAAAATTAAATTCTTAATTTTTGTTCCACATAAATCCATCTTATAGGATGATTCTGCCATTAATAAACAACAGGATTTTCTACCTAGGTATGTGAATTGCCACTACAAGCAGTAACTTCCTTTTATGTCACAAAAAGAGAAAGGTAGGGCTAGAGAAATGACTCAGCAGTTAAGAGTCTTACTGTTCTTGCAGAGGACTCAGGTTCAGTTCCCAACATACACCAAGTCAACTCACAACCTTCTGTAACTCTAGTTCCAAGGGACCTGATGCCCACTTCTGGCCCCCAAGGACACCAAGCATGCAGAGTGCACAGACATACATTCAGGCAAAACACTTGTATACATAAAGTCTTTTTTAAGAAAAAAATGTAAAAATGAACAAATTGGTCTTTCAGATTTAGTTTTGGAAAGTAACAAATATAACCTTACTTAAAATATTAAAATGACACATATTACAAAAGTCTTTAAAAAATATGCACGTTCCAAGTTAATCAGAGAAAACTGAAGATGTAGCTCAACTGGAAATGCTTGTCTAGCATGCACGTATCCCTGGTCCATAACACTGTATGAAACCAAGTGTGATGGTGCATGCCTATAATTTGCAACACTTGGGAGGCAGAGATAGACAGGAGGATCAGAAATTCAAGATCATCCTTGGCTGCACAGTAAGTTTGAAGCCAGTCATGAATATATGACTGTTTTAAAACAGAAATAAAGAGAAAATAAAGGAAGAAAAGAAACAAGTGTGGCGATAAAACATCTTTATTCTTTTTTTTAAATATCTTATTATTTTTATTTGATGTATATGAGTATATTGCCTGTATGTATTTAAGCGCATTCATGTCTTGCAATGCCCATGGAGGATGAAGAGGGTATCGGATTCCCCTGGAACTGGAGTTACGAACGGTTGTTAGCTGCCATGTGGGTGCTGGGAATCAAACCTGGGTTCTTTGCAAGAGCAGGCCAGTGCTCTTAACCACTGAGCCATCTCTCCAGCCATTTTTTTTTTTTTTTGGTCTAACTTTTCGTGTGTGTGTGTGTGCATATGTGTGCATGTGTGTGTGTGTGTCTATGTGTGTATGTGACTGTGACTGTGTCTGTGTCTGTGTGTGTGTGTGTGTGTGTGTATGTGTGTGTATTCCCACAGTGCATGTGGAAGCCCAAGTGAGGGAGTCCTTCAAGTGCTCTCCACCTTATTCACTGAGTCAGGGTCGCTCAGTTGAACCCACAGCTAGCAGATATGATTAGGGTATCTAGCCAGCCTACTTCAGAGTACTGGAATTACAGGAAGCTACCATGCCCACCCAGCATTTAAGTGGGTTCCAGAGATGCATCCTCATGCTTGCTGGCTGCACAGCAAGTGCTTTAACAGCTAAGTCATCTCCTCAGCCCCTACTAAGTAATTTTTAACAGCAAAAAATACAATCAAGCTGAGCATGGAAGTGAATATCTATGATCCCAGCACTCAGGCGCCAAAGGCAGGAAGAATACAAGTTCAAGTCTGGCATGAGCAATGTGGTGGAACCCTGTCTCAACAAACAAATAACAAAAATCAACCTTGTAAGTATTAACAAATTGTAGTTATAATTTTTCATCATCACACTTTAGAAAAACAACTTTGCTTATCATGTTTCCTAGAGGTTGATATAATATTGTCTATGTTTTTACTAATGAAATTTAAAATTCTAATGTTAACTCCATTCGTGGTTTAGAAAACAACTATTTACAACATTTCTCTATCTGCAAATTCTGTCTATATTTTAATACAAGTATTACTTGATCACACCTAATGCCCACTAGTATTTCTGAAGGGTAATTTTCTATGACAGAAAGAATTTAAACATAGTGCAAGTGTTTTCAAAACAACAATCATTTCCTTTTCCTTTGCTCAATTTTCACACTAATTATAACCCACAATTAGTTTCTTTTATTTACCTATTCTTAAAATTTTCTAGACATAAAACCAGATGTTTAGTGCTGAATAACAACAATTAAATATGATCAACACATTTCTCTTTTTTCTGCCTTAAAAAGCAAATTTTAATGCAATAAAATGAATGCTGAGTTAGTTAACTGGAGCTAGAAGCTAAAACATACTACCATAAAAAGGCTTAAACAGCCCATTTGCTCACAGATCCTGCCAGTTAACTTTCATGTTCATAGCATCAAAACCCCTGCTGATCAGTTCTTTAGTTATAAGAAATGCCAGCCAAATCTGCTGGCTCAGCACAAATCCATATCATCAGTTCTATTTATCAACTTTACTACAAACAAATCATGTAAGATGTATCATCTTGGGACAGTACAGTAATAATAAACCCAGTGAATCATACAATAAGTGATAACCAAATTGGTAAAAGTGTAACATTTACTTCAGATGTTAAATTGAAGTAGATCACTTAAAAAACAAAATCCATTTCTATGAAATCCCTATTTACACTTTAAATTATAAATGTCAGCATACACTGGGCTGAGGGTATAATTCAGTGGTAGAGTTAAGCATGCACAAGGCCTTAGGCTCAATCCCCAACACCAAAAACAACATGCCAACTCACTAAAATTTGACTCATGTTGCCAAAATAGCTACCAATGACAGTAACTTTCCTCTCCCTCTCCCTCTCCCTCCCTCTACCCCCTTCCCCTCCCTCTCCCCCTCCTCTCTCTAGGATTTTTAAGGGAGGGTCTCCCTGTAGCTTCAGCTGGTCTGCCTCTGCCTCCCAAGTGCTGGGATTAAAGACATTGCTCAACTTTCTTCTCTTTTGACTGGAATAACTGTGCTGATCTCTTTAACCTTTCCACTTTATCAATTCATGAATATTTACCTTGCTATAGCAATTGTAATCTATGAGGAATTATTCCTCCAAATTATAGTAATGTTCATCTTTCAAGACAGACAAATGTTCCTTTTTTATTGCTTACTGGCAACTGCAATCCAATAACTTTCCATCCCCCAATTTCTCTTCTGACAGGCAACTCTTTCCCATAATTCCCTACACAAGGCAATAGAATTAGTACTTTAGTCTTTTAAGTTTTTGCCTCTCCTAGAGGTTGTGAATCTCTGAAGATAAGCACATCTTCAACCAGTCCTACTCATGCACAATTCATTAGAGTTTAAATTAACCGTACTTGGCTTGTCCCTTAGTGTCCTCTAGGGATGAGTTCTAGAACCCCTCACAGATCCCAGCATCTTGGGATCCTCAAGTCTCCTACACGAAATTGCATTAATATTTGCATGTAACCTACCAGACATTTTCCCCTACACTTTAAATCTCTAGATTAAGTACAATACATAACAAAATATAAATGCTATGTAAATAGTTGTTATACTGTACCATTTAGGGAATGACAAGAAAAAGGCCATTTATGTTTATATCAAAACAATTTTTTTTCAAATACTTTCAATCCTCAGTTGATTGTAATCACCAATGTGGAATCTTCTAACAAGGAGGGCTCACTGTATATGGTATCAAATTGCTTACAGGTCAGCCTCCTGAATCAGCTACACTATGAAACTCTGAAGCCTGGGACTGTACCATCTGAGGTTCTGGGTCAATGAGATGTAGTGAAAATTAAGCAACAGAACCTCTCTGTATTTTTCCTGTACCGTTCTGTATTAGCAAAGTATCTTACAAATATATACATTTATGGAGGGTTTGTATTAATCTTTGAACCAACACACATTCTTTTCCTACTGAACATACACGTGCAACAATCTCTTTGGAGGGGAAAGAACTGAATTATGCCTGATCCATTCGCCAATACAAATGTTTACTACACAATGATTCAGAGTTCAGTGTATGTCTAATCAAATAAAATCTAATCACATTATCCTTGATTAACACGTGGTCCTTGAAAATTTAATGAACCCATAAATTCTAACACCTATTTTTAAAAAAATTTAAACTAAGATTTGACAATGCTTTCCAATAATATTGATGTTAAGCAGGGCACTGGAAAGATGGGGGGAGGAACAAGAAATTAGAAATAGGTAATAGTTTAACATACCACTACCATTTCTACCTTTATCCAAAGAGAATTTAAATGCGAACAGAAAAAAAAAATGGAGGCAAAACCTATAATTCAGCATAAACCCTAAGGAAAACAAAAGGCGCTGGATCTGCAAACCATCGGGTTTAATCTGTTATCCTTTCAAATCATTATTAAAGAATTTTTTTAAATTCATACAATTCTTCGATTCATCCACGACCAGCTGGTTCTCATCTCACCAATGGTCTCACTATTCTCTCCCAAACCCTCGCCCGCCTACACACACAGAGAGAGAGAGAGAGAGAGAGAGAGAGAGAGAGAGAGTGTCCCGGAGCCATACCAACCATCACCGGAAAAAATTTAACCATGTGGTTCATTTTCCTAATTCTCTACGAAAAACGGTCATAATTCTTTTTCCCATAGGAAAATTATCTATTCTAAAGGGACTGGGGAGGAAAAGCAGCTCATTATCAGGCAGTTTCCTATTTTCCATAGGGAGAAAAATAGCATTAACTTGTAATAAGAGACAACTGCTCTTCTACCGTGCCCCCTTTACCTAAAAAAAGAAGTTAAGGTTTATTGTTTTGTTTTGAGGGGGCATTCTCTTTGCAGTACCGGGGCGGCTAAGTCCCCAGAATTTGGGGAGGGGGTTAACCTATCAGTCCTTTTCTCATACCCCTGCAACTGAGCATGATTCCGTTATCTAGAAAACGCCACTCTGAGCCTCCTGGTCCATCCTGCACACTGACAGAGGAGGAGTGCGGGGACAGCGGAGCACAGCGGCGAGGAGGCGGGACGTCACACTCGCACCGCACCGCGGACTGCACAGGGGAGCGGCTCCCGGCTCCCAAGATGTTCTACGGACCCGGGTTCCCGCAGCCGCCGCCCTCGCCCCGCTCCCCACCACAGCTCCCCTGACCGAGCCCTGCGCGGCCTCCGCTGCTCCGTGGCGCACCCCACGACCTGCCGCGCTCGGGCCGGGAACGCGTCGCACCTGAATGTAGTTGTTCTCGCAGTAGTCGGCCACCCGCTCCAGATTCGTGTAGCTGTCGAAGAGGGCCCGGCGGCCCCCCGGGATTTCCTCTTCCAGCAGCATCTGCAGCTCCGCCATCTTCACATCCTCCTCCTCCTCCTCCCCATGCAGCCCGCAGAGGTAGCGGCGGCCGCAGCGCAAGGGAAGCCCGCGCCTGGGAGAGGAGGAGCGGCGGCGAGCGCAGCGGGAGCTCCGGAGGAGCGAGCAGCACCCCCCAGCGCGCGACCGGGGAGGGGGCGGCGGGCACGGAGGCGGGGCGCGAGCCGCGGGGCGGCGAGGATAATCACCGCGGCGACGGCCGGGCGCGCGCACGCGCACGCGCGCTCCCCTCCCTCCTCCCCCGAGTGCCTGAAAAAGATTCCCACCCTCGCCCGCGCCGCCCCTCCCCCACTTCCGGTGTCTCCTAGCAACGGGAGGGCGGGGGTCGGGATGCGCGCGGGCTGGCGCTGGGTTAAGCCTTGGGCCGTGCGCTGGTCTCCAGGCCCAGGAAGTCCCTCCGTTTCTTTGTTAGTCGGGTATGCGGCCTCCCAGCTCCCTGCCGGCTTCCCGCGGCGCTCTCCATTCTCCATCCTTGCGCCGGGTCTCGCCTTTGTGGAGGTCCAGGGCCTGAGGGACCTCTGCAAGTCTCTCTGAACGGAGCATGGTCTCTCCACATCCTCTGTGAAAGACCACACCTTCTCAGGACAGGCAGAAAAGCTCTCTCGATACTGCAGCTTTGAGCGCCACTGTAGACCTTATCTTCTACCTCATCCTCCCTGTTGCGGTGTAAATTGCAATTACCTAATCCCAAAATCAGGGCTTTTGTTTGTTTGGGTTTTGATTTTTGGTGGTTTGGGGGAGGTTTTTTGAAGCAAGGTCTGGTAGGTAGCCCAGGCTAGGATTACAGGCATGTGCTGTGATGCCCCAGCCTGGGCTTCCTCACTTCATTTTTTTTTTTTTTCTTCCTTGAGTCAGTATTTCAATATCGAAGGTGGTTTTTCTGATACTAATTTCTTTATACTCCTGGTTGTGATGTAAAATAAAATGAAAGCACATTGAAAAACACTACAAAAATTCAAGGTAGGTAATTCTGATCTTGCACAAGAATAATCTGTGCTTTCCAGATAGTGTATCTCTTTTCCTAAATATGTTTACCCCACACAGTGAAAGCTTGAAGAGAAAAAAAACAAACCAGCTGCAGAGATACTAGCATACTACCATGAGAGATAAATCATACTACCATGATTTATCTGTACTGTGAAAGTCCTAAGGGATGTCATCTTAGAGGCATAATTCAGAATAGAATCTGTAATTTCAACCATTCTTACTCTTGTGACCATTTGGCCCTCCTACAATCAATTTTCATTTAAAAAATAACCAGGTATCGTGTACACACCTTTAATACTAGCACTAGGGAGGCAGAGGCAAGAGGATCTCCTTAAGTGCCAGGCCAGCCTGAACTACATAGTTCTACACCAGCCTGGGCTACACAGTGAGAACCTGTCTCAAAACAAAACAGAAAATATATACCATACCATCACAAATTTGTGGACTAAAACCTCTGGTGTTAAATTAGCTTTATGATAAATTCATACTGATAGGTATGAGTACCCCTTCTGTTGCTGTAATAAAAAACACTGACAAAAACCAACTTGGGAAGGAAAAGGTTTATTTTAGCTTATATCTCCCAGGTCACAGTTCATCACTGAGGGAAGTCAGGGTAGGTACTCAGGGCTGGAAAAGTCTCACTATGTAGACCTGGCTGGCCTGGAGCTCACTTTGTAGACCAGATTGGTCAAGAACTCACAGAGATCTGCCTCTGCCTCCTGAGTGCTGTGATAAAAGGCATGCACCATCATGTTTGGCTTATTTTTGGTCGTTGCTATCAGTAACATTGATATAAAAGACATTGTATTGAATTCTGTGTTGTACTTGTGTTGCACTTGGTAAGTTAACTTACAAATGGTCATTAGAATGTTATGGATGCAAAAAACACAACTCTTACCTCAAAAGGGCTAAGATATAGTTATTCTGGAGCCAAATATGAGCAACCATAGATCAGAACACAGATTTAGATTAACCCCAAATCCATGTTCCAATGGGGTAGCAGTTTCATGAACTACAGTAAGAGAACAAAGAAACATACTTTTGATATTCTGCTATAGGCCTTAGGTGCTCTGTGACAGCATTCTTAGCCTTTTGGTTGGTTGGAAACTAGGGGTCTGTACATTCAAAGGATTTACCTAATACTCACTAAAGATGGCAGGTCACCTACAGAGAAGGGCAATAAACAGACACTAAGGCAACTTAAGATACCCCAGGATAATTTGGCCCTGGACTTGTAGCACCGAAGCTGCAATCAGTCAGTCAGTCTTGCAGAAGGCTTAGTAGCAAACACATGGTGTTTGGGAAGGCAAGAGAAGGCATGAGCATTGTGGAAGCCATGAGCGCTTTGGGTCCAGGAATGGCAAGACCAGCAAGAAAATCACTACTGCTAATTGTGGACAACTCTGATACTTTTTTGACTTGTGTGCATCTTACCCACCAGACCATTCCTTCTGTAGCTCAGGAAAGCTGCCTCTACCGTATCTGCTCACAATATCCCATAATCTCTGGGCTTTCACTGCTGTTCTTTGGATTCCATTCCTCTCCAAGTCTAGCTGGTTTGCAGAGTTAAGTTTATGATTATGAATAAAAACAATAGGAAAAAAATGAACTAATGTATACCAAGTTTTATTCAGAACTTCACATGTTAATTCTTACAAATATTGCAAAATAGGTTTTGTGATCTTCATTTACAGACTCAAAAACTAAAGCATAGAGAAACAAATATGAAATATATTTAGACTGCAGATTTAGGAAGTACACATTGGTTTGATTTTGCCAATGTTTTTTCCAATATTTCATGACAAATCACACTTCTGTTTTTTTAGCTCTATAAACACAGTGCTTAGCATTTAGATGCTAATAATGTCTATTGAATACTCATTATATAACCTCTTGTGGGAGGAAAGGTTAATTTCTATTCCACAAAGTAACTCCTCCATATTTACAGAAATTCATTAAAAGTATGTGTTGCCAAAGCCAGGTGTGGTGGCACATGGCTTTAATCTCAGCACTCAGGAGGCAAAAGCAGGCAGATCTCTATGAGATGGAGGCCAGCCTGGTCTATGTAGTGAGTTCCAGGCCAGCTGGGGCTACAGAAAGACCCTGTCAAACCAAACCAAACAAACAAAAAGCCCAAATAACAAAGATATGTGTTTCATGTGGTGGCACATGCCTAGTATCCTAGCATCTGAGGCAGAAAGATCCAGAATCCGGGGCCAGCCAGCCTACACTGTATATGGAGACTCTATCCCTCAAAAATGAAAAAAAAGAATATTTTTTATCTTTCTCATGACTAAACACGACCAATTTTTTCCATTATTCCTCATTATCTGTTTAAAAGAATTAATGTGGTAGAAAATAGGCAATATGTTAGAGATTTATCTAGGTCCAACCCCCAAATTTTGCCAATGAGGTAACTAAAACTTCAAAATGTTAAGTTAATGGGTCTGGAGAGATGGCTCAGCAGTTAAGAGTACTGATTGCTCTTGCAGGGGACCTGGGTTCGATTCCCAGCACCCACATGGCAGCTATGAACTGTCCTTAACCAGTTCCACAGAATCTGACGTCTTCTGACCTCCGTGGCATTGCACAACATGGGTGCGCTCACATACATGCAAACAATGCACTAATACACATAAAATAAAAATAATAAAAAATATTTTTTTTAAAAAATGTTGTTATTAAGCACGGTGGTGCACACCTTTAATCCCAGCACTCAGGAGGCAGAGGCAGGTGGATC